CAAGTGGCCCCATAAACCCAGTTCGGGCAGGAACGGACCTGCTGCGCCCCGTCACCTCCTGCGCTGACACCCTGACGACACCAGCAGCGCCAAGCGTGCCGCCACGTGCCCCTGACCTGCCTGTCGCTGCCTTCGTCACTTCGTCGCTCTGATCCTGACTTTTGCTCCTACTCCTGCCAAAAACAGAAACAAATTGTTGCCGCTGCTGAAGCAGGCACGCCAGCAAACAAATGTATTAGTAAAAAACTCTTGTTTGCTGGGGTTTGAATAAACTTATAGAAGAGAATAAGCGTCGCAAAGTCAATTACAATAACAGCTGGATAGAAGCTAATCAGCTCAGCTCTCGCCAGCAGGATGAGATCAGCTATAACTTCCTATCCAAACTTTACAATTAGTGAATTTGATGATTGCCATTAGAATCGCCTGTACGATTACTCCATTATAGAAACCATTTTTAATTAATAGTTAACTAGCAAATCTCAATGCCTATCTCGTTCAAAGTCCACCTTAAAGCCATGCGGGAATTTACAGTTCTGTCATGGAAACTAATTGTAACCCGCTGAGCCAAAATTCTTACATCCAGCTGCTAGAGCAGCAGCAGCCGCCAGCCACGAGCTTGGTGATCTCACGATGCATCGCCCGACGGAACAAGGCCCCAGGCACCTCCTCCTGGGGTGAGACCTGGCTGGGGTCCCACCTCCTGGGGGGACATGGCAGCTGCCCAAAGGTGTTTGCCAGACTGCGCCCACCGCAGCTGGGCAGAAAGAGGAGAATACGAGAGTTCTCCAGGATTTGCTGAGGTCGAGGTGCTGATCTTTTGTCATTTGGGTTTTTTTCTGGTAGGAGATGATATTTCAGAAATAGTTTTTGGAAAGCAATTGCACTCGATGCTGTAGTAATCTTAAAATTGCCTGTAGTGCAAGATTAATACATATGTAGCAGAAAGGGTTCATCACTGTAAACAGAGTCCCTATTAAAACTGAATTGCAGTGTGAGGCTTGTCTAGCGAGATGGGAGCACTCCATTTTCCCGCTGCCATGACGGCTTCACCTGTCTGCCAGGTGAGGGTCATAATTTTTCCCCTGTTGTGGCTGGCGTTCAGTGCATTAATCTGTTGTTTCATTCCTTTTCTGAAGCTGGCAGACTTGTTGCAGTGGTACGCAGCCACCTTCAGAGACCCCGTGATGCTGCAGCCCCCCGAGTGGTTTCAGGCGTTTGTATGGTGCGAGGCCATCTTGCAGCTGCCGTTCTTCCCCATCGCCGGCTACGCCTTCTTAAAGGGTTGGTAGGAAACAAGTGTAAGAGTACGTCCTCTGCGGCGTTTCTGCACAACACTTGCTTTCTGTACAGCAGAGAACTTACCAGTTTGAAGCAATTACAGGGATGAACCCCATGGAGGGCTGAACCATTGTCGTGGCAAGTTTTAGCTGAGAAAGCAGCACAGAACAAGGCCTGTCAGAAACAAAAACCGTGACTGCGGGCCCTTTGCCACTGCAGCCACGCGTATGCAACCAGCACCAATGTTTGACATCTAGCACGGTCCCAAGGTCTGGGTCAAGCCCGGGTACTCACTTTGTACTTTAAAACTTTCACGATCACACCATCGTTCCACATTTCCATAAAGGCAGCTCATTTTCCTGGGTTGCTACTAGCACCTGGTTTTCTCTGCTGCCCGTGTGATATGACTTTGTGGCTCACCCTGTCAGAGACACAGTAGTTAATGCTCTGTTCATTTAAAAGATGATGAATTCTGCTCATTTCAGAATACTTAAATATCATTTCCTTTTTGCTCCTATACAGGCGGCTGCAAATGGATAAGGACTCCTGCAATTATCTACTCCACCCACGTAGCTACAACTCTGCTTCCCATCCTCGCGCATATCCTGTTTCATGATTTCTCAGCGTCTGAGCATTTGGGACCTCGGAGCCAGCGCGAGCGCCTCGCCCTGTTCTCTGTCTACGTGCCGTACCTGCTGATCCCACTGCTGATCCTCTACACCATGCTCTGCAACCCCCACTACACCCACGCGGAGAAGAGGAAAAGGAAGTAGTCCGTCCCCTACGACAGCTGTAAGCACAAGGCTCGGACTGGTTGGGATTCGGACCCTGTGCTGATGTCGTCCTCGGGACAAACACCTGCCTCGTGCTGGGCTGCAACAGCTCCTGTGAGAGAAGCGTGAAGTGGTTTGAGGTCCCAGCTCTCTTGCAATCACCAGGAGCTCTGGCAGAGGCCTGCATGAGCGATTCCACGTGGCTCTGGGCACAGGCAGGTGACGGGACCTCACACCTCTCCCACTGCCATACATCTGTAACAGGAAAATGAATTTTAACCATTTGATGGGTAACTGTGTGATGGGCAGGGGGGGAACTCCAGATGATACTTTTCTTTCAACTTCCCTTTTTCCAAGATAATCGTTAGAAGACCCTGTAGGTGAGAAGTTTGTCTTCCAAGAGCCTGTTCTGCAAAATCCGTAACTGATTATAGAGATCGCAAAGCTCTGTTTTAGAAGCATTTCTAATCATATAATGATTCTTAATTTCCTCACCCCTTCCTTTGCTTCAGTTTTGATTTAATTGTAAATGTCTGATCAGTGACGAATGTGACAAAATCTGGATTTATGAATGCTTGAAGTAAACTTTGTTTGGCAATGAGGCATCCTTCCTTGAGGATTTTAACATACTTCAGCAATTGTAAACAAGGATTTTTTAAATTTCTGTCTTCCATGGAATCACTTCTAGTATGGAAATAAATAACTAAAGGCATTAAACTGCATTTACTCTTCTTAAGGGAATGACTAAAAGCGAACATGAGATCATAGATAGTTGACACAGTAAATATATGCATAAGATACCGTAAATAAAACCTACTACTGATAGAAATTCTGGGGTGGTTGGGGTTGGGTTGTTTAGGTTTGTTTTAAGTTCTCAATCTGAATCAAACTTGGGAGACTTGTGTAAAATCACAGGTCACCCAGAGGCTTTTCAGTCACGGCTTGTAGATTTCAGGACTTCGCTGGTATAAAATTTAAGCCTTCCCCCGGCGGTGAAAAGGCCATTTCCAGATTCGTTTGTCTAAAGAGAGGCACAAAATGCACCTGTGTGCACTTCAGCACGAGGCTTGATTTTAGATCACGGGCGCGCAGATTCTAACTGTCACATTCATATTTGCATGTACTCCCGGTGTCACCGGGCACACAGAACGGTTTATCTCCTCAGTCTGCAGTTCTACCACTCACATAATGCTCTCAAAAGAATTCTACTCTGATGTTACCTACCTGGGCATGGTTTGAAGTTGTTAATTCTGCCGTAGTTTCTGCTTTTTTGTGAGTCTAATTGATCCATTCTGTTAATCAGAATTTTCTGGGGTTTTTCCTAATCCCATAGAAAAAATATTCTGGTCAATATTGATAAAAGTTACTGCTGCTTGTGTCTGTACAGACCCAAAGAATCCTACATACCGGAAAGCCGTTATGACTAGCTCAAAAATAACATAGCAGAAGCAAATAATTCTGGTATATCCAGAAGGTCTGAAAACAATAATTTATTTCCTGATTTCTTTGAAAGAGCTGTACATTTCCAAAAGGGAGAGACATAATATAGCAACAGTAGTATTAATTCAACTATAATTTGAATTAGAACTACTGACTGTAGAAAACTTTTATAAAATCAAAAGGACAGAACAGCCTTTACATCTGTTAGAAAGCCCTCCTTATTGCCACGTTTAGTGTAATTCACACTGAATTAAAAGACACTTCCATTTGTACAAACCATCTCTTCATTCATACACAGTGAAAAATTGCATATTTTGGAAATTCTCAACAGTCTGGAATGGTCAAGTCTCCGAGTTAGTTTGTTTCCATCTTAAAATCCTCTATTTCTGAAAAATGAATTGGTCGATGAATTCGTTCTGGTCTGCTTCAATTTTACACAGGGTCTCGTACTCTACTCGGTATCTGGAAGAAAAAACAAACAGTTACCAGCTGCACGCAGCCCGTGTTGGATGGTTCAGTACAACATGCACTGGTCTGCGTTGAAGGACAGTTACGCGTGAGTCATCTGGAAAGCAGCAGCTGCATGAGTTGGACTCTGCAGTTCTAAAGTGCCGTCACAGGTCGGACACGCGCCCGCAATTACAGTTTTATTGACTTCTTCCGCTGTGCGATCTCATGCTGCCTCTGTTTATTGAGCCACAAAGTCACAAGAGAGGAACCTTCCTTTGACGAGCAGCAGGCAGGGCCACAGGTGAACTCGGGGCTTGTGGCCCTGTGCCGTTCCCCGTGAGCTCTGTGCAGGACACGCCTTCGCTGCAGCTGGACCCTCTGAACCAGCCCAGCACAGACGGCGAGAGGGACCTTCCGGCCTCTGTAATGCCCCAGAAGCGTTTAACAGAAAGCTCACCTTTCCAGCTGCATCTTCTTCTCAGCTATCAAAGCCTGAAGCTGCTGTTCCTGAGCTTCTCTTTGCTTGGCTATAGACTTCAGCAAATTTCGTGCACCGATGGCCTGCCAAAAGAGCACTCAGTGATGTAGCTGTATTGGGATGTTTTTTAACCCCTTTCACTACTAGCAGTGTTTCATCCACGTGAACAGTAAAGGAGGGTGACAGCTGAACACTGGGTGGTTGGTGGAACAGCAGCCAGCCCCTGGAGAGGCTGGGCAGGTTACAGCATTTGGGATTGCCTTCCAACTCCAGAAACAAAAGTCACTGACTCCTCTGGAAACACAAACTGATCACTGGTGACTGGGACAGACAAGCTCTAGTTATAATTTTTTCCCCAGAACAAATAAGGAAAATAGTAATAACCTACAATTGTGCTAAAGATTAATTTCGATTTCCACAGTAACGTAAAAAACCCACACGACTTGGTGACACAAAGAGAAAAGGTCAAAGGTAGTTCTAGAGCCATTCACTGCTCTGATCTTTAGAAAGCCCTCCTCCTCCTCACAGAGCCTCTCCTGCCTCTTGAGGATGAAATTCTACTAGTAGAAGGAGTGATTAAAAAACCACGTGTTCTGTTTATGTGCAAATACACAGACAAGCAGGAACAACGGGACTATGGAGTGCAGGAGTAGCTGTGACACTCTGAGCGTGCCTGTCAAGTCTTCCAGAGCCATTAAAAAGGCCCGTGCTTTCCTATGGCACAGACAGACGTTCACTACACAGAAATGTCTGTACAATACCAACAGAAAGAGATTGCTTATGCTTGAGAAGGAGGAAGGGAGAGAGCTGGTTTTTCATGCACAGTACAGAGCACCTGACAAGCCAGTAATTGCACAGTACCTTCATCTTCTCACTTTCAGCAGCTTTTGCCAGTTGATCAACAAGTTCTATTAAGCCACCCACTATTTTCTGAAATTCTACTATTTCTGCAAAGAAAAACAATTGTCAAGTAATATTCAGAGCACCCCTAAGGAAGATGAATGCTACCACTACATGCTGTAACTTTCAGCTGCGGCTTTGAGAATTTACTGTAAGCAAGTACATGTTAACAGGCTATACAAAGGGAAAGAAAAGACAAAACTCCTGAAGTGCGGAAGAGAGTCCTCCCAGCCCTCTCCAGGCCCCCGAGGAGCGCTCAGCCAGGCCTGCAGGGGCCTGGGCCCCTCGTCAGAACCCAGCGCTGGCCGGGCGGGGGGCTGGTCCCGGGGTCACTCACTGTCCAGG